AAACAATAATGAAAGCTTAGTTCTTTCTAGTGTGCATGGTCGTTGCTCATTTTAGTCATTTTTTGGCACGTGCAGAAGGAAAATCTGTGCAAGAGATGATAGACAAGGCTCTCTGACATGTCCCAAATGTTGATGGTCAGTTAACCTTTGCGCAGACATATATTCAGATTGGAGCTTATTCTTTTAGAAGGATGCAGTAAAGTTTATTTTGGTGCTTATTGGGAGCAAGTAACAAGAATATTGATCAGGTATTTTTATGTTTGAAGTTTTCGAAGTTGTTCCAGTAAGGTTTTGAGACAAGATGAAATTATGTGGGTTTTGTTTTCAGGTCAACTAGATCCACGATTCTTTAGCGATCATGGGAACTAACAACGCTGCCTTTAGCTTACCACAGATATGTTTTGCTCTTTCGTTATTTACCTAGTTATTTAGGTTTTTGTGGCACTCATTGCACATTTTTTATATGATGCCTTGAATTTAGGACCTTTTAAGTAGAATGCAAAATACACTTAACTTGGATTTTCCTCTTAATCCAAGAGCTTGCTTGATATGGTTTAGGGAGGCAGGAGATGCCTTAATATGTTACATTGACTGGTGTAGATCTGATGGGAGTTTCTGAAAAGTTCAGGTACCGAATAACAGCAGTTGGATTTTTGTTCATGTAATTGGAGGTCTTCTCAGACAAATTGAATTATGGGATCAAAATAATAATCTGTTGGGAGTTAAAATTAATGGATTTTGATAATGTTCTTAACAATACGGAGGTCAACTTTTCACTGATTTTCGTTATCATTACTAAATCCTAGATGTTTCTTGAATAAATGCTTGACCTGCGCCTACTTCTAAAATCAACAAAGACTGAGTTCCTTACTATTGGCACGATAAGTTTCAATGTTAATATCCCATGTGCAGCACAACAAAGAATTAAAAATGTGCAAAATGGAATATTTTTCAATGAGTTAACAAAAAAAGGTGACCTATGTGTTTTAAAAGCCATATCTCACTACCACCGTCAGGAAAGCGCAGATAAAATTAACAGAAGGTATACCCCACAGTCGCCATCTACAAAAACCAAATGAGGTCAATGAGGCAAGCCAGTGAACCTAGAGGCAACATACGCACTATACTAGTCAGTAACCGTGTGAAACACGTTTGCATATTCATAACGTGTGACAGTTTTGTCATAACTGCATTAAAAAAATGCATATATAGTGGTTTGAGATTTCTCTGAAAAAAAATCCAGTGGGAAAAAGGGGGAGCTGCAACATCAATCATCCCTTCTCCTTTGTTGGTCACTTGAAATTATAATCATTTTCTGCAATAAAAAGCCTGGTTGCTTGGTACATCTTACACAAGTATGTTAGAAAATTGTTCAGTTTGGGAAACAACTGTATTGATTATGTTAGAAAAAAACTCTATTGTTCTTAGTCTGAGATGTTTTTATAATGAATTATGAGCGACAGAGGCATCAATTATCTTTGCTATATTCTTATGCACGCGCACACATATAATGATGTGTAATACCTTTCTTTATGACATTTACCTTTTATTAAGCTTTTGTTGATTATTAAATATGTGTGTGTGTATCTTTGAATTAAGAGTACAATCTGAACTGTTGTGCAGCCTCATCTGAAGGATGATGAACTTGATCCAATTTACGTACAAAAGAGGGAGAGGTTGAGAGAAATTGTTGCTTCCTGATAAGTGATTTACACTCATTATATTATGCCATTAATTTCATAATTTTGCTATTTTGGAGAGCATTTTAGAAGTGCTAACAAGTGAT